GTCCATACTTCAATACTGTTAGTAATGCACATGCTTTGCCATTTTAGAGATTTTTTGATCCATTTGGCTTTTTAAAACAATCTGACACTGATTATTGTTAGCTCAGCATCAGATCTACTCAGACTTTAATACTTGTTAGGAGATGATCAATGAAATTCGCTTCACTCCTGACTCGTTTTCTTTTGGCTCATCAGTGTAAATTCGGTCTTCATTGTCTTTCCTCACAATTTGTTTTGTCTTTATAAAATTAACATTTGCTAAAAACTGGAAAATACAGTTACAATACAACTTTTTCTAGAAAAGGATGCCATTTATACTGTAGTTAATACAATGTATTATGTCTAGGCAGTTGTGTAAGTTCACCTAAAGATCTTCAGTTCTTCTGTAAGACCAGTTGATGAAAATAATTGCATTTAGTTAACAAACCAACATAAGTTGTGACCAACGATACAGAAACCCGAACGTAAGTTTGTATAAGGCTTAAAAATGTACAATTGTGTCAACTCTTAAACTGACTATTGTCAAGTTCTTAACGCCTCAGCTTTGAAAAAATACCCCTCGTTTTCAGAAGTAAATATAAAGGTATAGTTCACCCAAAAAATTTAAGTTCTTCTGAATTTACTCACCCTCCATTTTATTTTGAGAAGTTGGAAACCTGCAACCACTGGCTTTCATACTAGTGTTTTGTTCCAACAAGGAATGTCAGTTGTTACAGATTTTTCAAAATATTTTTTGTGTTCAATAGTATAAAGAAACACATAAAGGTTTGGAACCACTTGAAGGTGAGTAAATAGTAAGTAAATAAATTTTTTTTTGTGAGAATTATCCCTGCAAATTTAAAATGCATTTGACTGCATTCTAAATATACAGTCTTAATATGCTATATTTTAGGAGAAAATGATCAGCTCTGCCTGTTTTGAAGACAATTGCTTGTGTATTAGTCGATAGTTTAGGGCTTAAGCAAAAAAGAAAGTGACATTTTTATGTTGTAGCTCATACCTTAAACTGTAACAGTCAGCAGTCACTAGCCATAAATCTCCAATACCCATTGTTTGTCCAGAAAGACAACAAAACATTTCCTGTGAAGCTTATGATCTGACTATCAGAGTCAAACACAGATAGGAAGTGAGGTCTAGGGCACACAAATGACAGCACATAGTATTCATTAACTGTGTGTTTGCTTTAGATGGATCCAAAGACTCATTTTTTTTTTTGTAATGTAGATGTTTGGATTTCTGACAGCAACACAGGGCACTAGGTGGCAGTACATCACCCAGAAGCCTCTTCACTTTGCTGTAGGAATCGTTTTGTGTTGGCCAATGCACATTGCGTCTCTAATCTAGCCCAAATATTTCGCTGTGTGCAGTATGTGTGTTTGTCTGGCACCTCCGGACAACTCTGCTGAACTCAAGGACAATAGCAAGGTCAGTGATTGACCTCAGTCTGTGTACCCACTGCATCCTGTGCCCACATCAGAATTTAACCCTTTCCACCCTGCTCTATCTTATGAATCAGTCAGACAGTTTGTGTATGCATGGACAGTGAGGTGTGGTGCTTCAGGAGTGTTGTTGTCTTGAATGCTTGTACTCGTAGGTGGTCGAATCAAATGTTTTTTTTTTTTTTTTTGCATGTCATGCTGTGGGAGGTACTCGGTCTGGCCATTACAGAACAGTTTAAAGAGCAGCGCATCACAATACAGTCTGGAGCACAAGAGCTGTGTGAACATTCCAGCCAAACATACACATACACACACTTACACACACACGCCTCTACAAACTCTTTTACATGCTGCCAACAGGTGTGTTTTTTTATTTTTTTGGAAAAAGCCTTTGATGGCAACAAAATGGAGGGAGGAAAGAGGGGTTCTACACTTTTTATAAGACTTACTGTGAGGGCTGAAATAAAAAACAGATCCTCCCCATACTCTCCACCCCACTCGACAAGAGAAATAAAACAAACAGCCTTGGAATGATGAGTCATTACAGTGCCTGTTAGAAATTCCTCGAACATTCTATTCGTCTTCGTCTTCTTCATTGTTTTCGACTTGTTTTCCGATGTCATCTATTTCATCTTCTTCTTATGTCTTGTCATCATTTTCAGTTACTGCTTTCATTTTCTACTTCAGGGTCCTATTTTTCGACTAGTTCTTTGGCTTGTTAACCTTTTGGTGTTCGGCCTTGAACAATTTTTATTTTTTTGTTTGGACTTTTTATTTTATTGCTATGTGAATACACAATATAAAAATACAATTAAATAAATATGCATGATTCAAAAAGTCTTGGGAAAACACTCACACTCAGTTCGCAGTCTTACTGAAAGCTTGTTTTGAGATATCAACTTCAAATTTGAAACAACTTTTTAAAATGTATGTATATTTGGCTTACTTTCCTTTCGTTTTTCAGTTTTAGAGCGGATATATTAAGCAAAATATGTATTTTATATCAAATTTGGAAAATAGTATTTTTTAATAGCAGTGAACATTTTAATTACCTTTTTATTTCCAATTAAGCATTCAAGATATATGATGTTTGAGAGTTTCAGAGACATTTGAGACATTTAAGAGTTTGAGTTGGAAAAATACTTTATTTATATACACTGTAAAACCCAAAAAGTTAAGGTAAGTTAAGGTAACCATTTGAGGAAACCGACTGCCACAAACCATTTTAGTTCCAAAATAATTCCTAATGAGTACTGTGAACTTAATCCATTTGAGTAAATGAAGCAATTTGAGCACAGTAAAACCCATTAAATAAAAATAACTTAAATTAATAAATTAAGGCAACTCAAACCATTTGAGGAAACCGATTGTAACAAACTATTTGAGTAAAAAAAACGAATCTATACGAGAACTGTAAACTTACTCTATTTAATGAGGTATTGAATTCACTCATTACCCTAAACAATGAGTTCAAAACTCTTTTTAAATGAGTAACTTTCAGTAAATTTTGAGTTAACTACATTCATTTCATTTGATAAAGTTGACTGTTGGGTTTTACAGTGTATATATTTCGATGCTCTAAATGTTGCTAGAAGGTAATAAAAGGATTATTACATTATACATATATGTTAGTACCACAAAACCCTTTAACGTACAAAATTTATGGAATGCTTAGCTAGATAAAACATTTATTTCATTGAAATTGAAGCAAACAGTCATTTTTGAAGTCCTAGCACCAGGTGGTTTGTATTTAGTTAAATTTTTTTTTTATCTTCTTGTTCAGTGGTGGCACAGTTGCTCAGTGGTTAGCACAGTCGCCTCACAGCAAGAAGGTCGCTGGTTTGAGTCCCAGCTGGGCCAGTTGGCATTTCTGTGTGGAGTTTGCATGTTCTCTACGTGTTCCAGTGGGTTTTCTCCGGGTGCTCTGGTTTCCTCCACAATCCAAATAGGTGAATTGAATAAGCTAAATAATAAGTGTGTATATGCTGGTATGTATCGGTATTTTTCAGTATTGGGTTGCAGCTGGAAGGGCATCAGCAGCAAAAAACATGTGCTGGATAAGTTGGCGGTTAATTTCGCCTGATTAATAAAGAGACTAATCCGAAGGACATTGAATATATGAATGAATAAATAAACTATATTGGCCATAGTCTATGAGTGGATGTGTGTGGATGAGTGTTTACCAGTACTGGGCTGTGGCTGGAAGGGCATCAGCTGTGTTAAACGTATGCCGGAATAAATAGTTCGTTCACCTCTGAAATAGAGAATAAGTCAAAGGAAAATGAATGAATAAATCTTCTTGATTTTTATATTTATTTATTTTCTATTGTTATAATGAACTACAACTTTTTTCATCATCATCCTCTACACCTTAATTCTAATCGTTCAATCCCTGTTCAAACTTGTGGATAGTTTGTTTGTAATTTGAGCCTGTAAAGGATCATCTTTACAAAAATAGAAATGCTGTGATCATTTACTCACCCTCATGCCAATCAAAAATGTATGACTTTGTTTTGTCTGTGGAGACAAAATCAGATCTATTGAAGAATGTTGGTAATCATGTGGCTTTGGTTACCATTGACTTCTATTTTATGGCTATAAAAAGCAAATTTCAGAATATACATTGTTGGGAGAACTAAGAGTGCAAAAATATGTTGTGTCTTATTAAACAAAATGAACGTTTTCATTAAAAAATTATCAGTTGACTTAAATAGACAGAATGTTTGGCATTCAATTTTTAATCAAACGCAGCAGTCGTTGTGCTATTGTCGTGCTGAATTGCTTTCTCTTTTTTTAATTGGTCTTTTCTCGCTCGCATCTATTTAATCATACATCAGACTTTACCTGGAAACAGTACAGCTCCCTACACAACCGACTGAAGACAATCTGCTTACAATATATGTGCCATCTAATCTATCACGTTTCAGGAGCCATGATGGCAGTACAACTCTTTAAAACATTCTTTCAGCATGTCTTCCTCAAAAAAATGACATCATCAAATAATCCAGAAGCACCACAAAAAAAATGACAGCATCAAAACATGCACCAGGTCTTCATTTCTATGCATTAATTTGGGTAGATGCTAGAAAGACATCATGTTCCATATTGTGGAATAAACAAAAACCATTACAGTGACATCAGTATGTAAACTTACAGGCACCACATGTCGCACATTGCTTAACATTTTGCAGAAAGCACCATTTATTGACTACTATTGGACATAAATGCACATCTCTAACCTTAAAGTAAAATAAATGTCAGGCAGATTTTGTCGTGACGATTTATGATCGTAAACATCAGGTACACAAAGTGAAAGGAGAAATGCAGGAAACATAGGCTTTAGGACCCAGAGTCACAGCTCAGCGGAGGCAGGGCAAGGCTGACTCACTAAATATGTCTGAGGAATGAGAGAGAGAGAAAGAAAGATAGATAGAGAGAGAGAGAGAGAAAGAGAGGGAGAGGTAGAAGTGAAGAGAGGAGCAGAGAGACAAGAGACCGGAGCAGAGGTGATCTTGCCCTCATTAGTGTCAGGACTACAGGATGATTATGGGTTGACAAGGGAATGATGGAAGCAAACAAAGTTCTTCATTTTGTGCCATCCGGTAAGAACCACATGCACTCTCACTCACACACACATATGGACATGCTTCTGCGCTGTCACGACTGAGCATCTGAGGGTTTCCTGAAATTTGAGAGTGTGTGCTAAACATGTGCAGCGCAGAGGATGCATGTGTATCTGTGTGTTGTCGTAAGTTTTCCCTCTGTTGAATCCTGCAGGTCTGTGGATTGTTTTTCTCACACGCCTGCTGCTGTTTTTTGGGGGGGTGCGTTATGATGGAATGCTGCTTTTTGTCATTAAACGCTTTCATGCTGTTAATCAGTCGAGAAAATAGGAAAAACGACATCACACACTTTCAGATACCTGCACACACACGTGCTGAAACACGAATGAGGGAGAGGGAGATGTGGGAAAAGAGACTGATGCTAAACACAGATCAAAATCAAGTACCTGTAAGGCAGCGCTAGGAACAAAACCTTGATCAGGCGTTGTTGGAGTGTGCGTGCGCGTGAGAATGAGCGGGTATGTGTAGCTGGTAGTCCTCTGGGAGAACAGGTCTTATTTGTACGCGATGTTGCTGTTCAGTTTGTCTCATTGTGAGAAGTCAGTCTAATATCGCATGCAACACACGCTCTGTCAAGTGCACCTACATCGCTGTCCTTTCCCTTCACTCAGTGTAAACACAGTAGGTAATAGATGTGGGAAGACACTAAATCTTGTGCTCGTCTTCCCCCCAATACACACACGCACACATACACAAACGTCCATAATGAGACTGTGATTTGCATCCTTCGCCTAAGGGATTGAACTTCAAAATCAGTTGATGTCTCAATTTTCTCTCCTCGCATGATTATGTGTGTTTCTTCGTGTGCGTGTGTGACACACAGCATCAAGTGCGCATTTGATCAGCCTGTTGTAATTGACACTTACTTTGTGGCCATCTCGGCTTGTGGATAATCGCGGTGGCACTCTGTCAATACCATCATTTCCAGAGAATCTCAATGTCATTGGAGCAGGTCACTGTACCCGCTTGAGAACTTTCTCATATGCAATTTCATATAAGCGAGCAATCACTACAAGTTGCTCCAATGGATGAACGGATGGATCGAATTAAATTAACGACAAGCTAATATAATAAGCGATGTCCTCTGTCTTTTTTATGACTGTAACGAGCCTCAGGATTGTTCACTAGCCTCTCATTACACACACACACACACACACACACACGAAAGGTGGACATTTTGTCCCCAAATTTCTTTATTTATGATTTCCCATTGTGTTTGCGTGTGAAATAACCCATTTGCACTTGCAGATGGTGGGATATGAATAGATGTTATTTTCTGGAGGGCCGATTGACTTTGTGTGGCAATTATTTGTGTGTGTGTACAGTCATCAGCCAGATCCCAGAGAGGTTGGCAATGCAATGACTTTTTCTATTCTCCATTTGTCTTCCACCCACTGTACATTACAGTCTGCAAGGAGGAAATTAGAATCACACATTCCTCTGTTTATCTCTTCTGTTTACGGTGCGCTGTAAAACAGCCATATGGGCATCTTCTCCCATACAAAGAGTGGCGTCTGTGAGTGCGAAGCCGTCGCAGACATTCACATGATGGAGAGCTTGATCTGCCTGACCCTCAGACGTGGTCAAAACATGGATATTTTTAGAGGCCCTAAAAATGCACACAATGTCAGACTTGGCCGAGTGCTGTGTGTTGTTGTGCGCGAGACTAATTAATTGGGCATCTCTTCAACTCAAAGTCTGATCGCAGATAGGCATGCCTCTGCTCTTCCGTAATGGATTAAATATAGCTCACGGGAAAAAAGTTACAAAAGCTCCGTCCTCTACTTTGTGTTCACGAATGTCAGGAACCCCCTCTCGCATCCACACACAAACACCCACACTCAGGCAAACAGACGCGCCCCCCTGCCCACCCCTGGAGTAAACGTTAGATTGCTTCAAGATGTCGGAGGATGCCAGTGATGATGAATTCCGACCTTTGATTGCGAAGCTGCCCGTGCGCCAGGGGAGAAACCTCACACATGCCACTTTTCTGACATGCTACATAGACAGATGCGCATGTCACCTTTCTGATACACTAGAACACACACGCTCAGACTGCTGTATAACCAAATAGATGCCATCACTGCCTTTAAATGTCAAACAGTTATCCTTTTTCTCTCCCAATTTGCAATTCACGCAAGGACGCTTGTGATATAGCTGTATCCTTTTTCTGTTCTCCCTCACTTGTGCTTTGTCTCCGGTTTGGTCTTCTCTTTTTTGCAGGAGCGGTACTGTAGATTGTAAAGGGGGGAATAGTGGCCTGGCTTTAATAGAGGAAGAAGGGAATGTGCAAGCAATTAGCAGGAATCCCCCAGCAGAGCTCTCAAAAACCAGAGCAGCCGAGATATGAAGGAAAGGAAAATCTGTATTCCCTTGGTGTACAGGACAATAGTGTCCATGCAAACACATTTAAGCTGCGCGTTCCCCTGGTGGCGCGTGATTAAAGACGGCTGTCATGTTGAAGCACGTTAGTACTGCGGTCACTGGATCCTGACGTCCACCTCTCTCAATCTCTCTTCTAAGCTCAAGAGGGTTTTATACTGGATAAAATTGAAAAAACAGAGCAATATCTGATGCTATAATTGTGGTATTACCTAGATGTTGATTTTCTGTTAAGGTTTGGTGTGCTTTGCTTTTTTCACACACAAACGCCGCTCTGCGTATTTTCTTCTACAGCTTAGTCAGAGGGAGACGCTGGCTCACCTACATCTCTATAACGCCGTAGAGTATGCATAGATCACTATCAGGGTCACCCAGTGATTGCTCCCTTCACACCAGGAGATGGACGCATCAGCCGAAGCGCACGCTACAGAAACATCCCTGCCGTATGAAATTCATTTAAAAGCACTCGCACAAATGGCTGCCGCTTTAGGATTTCCCTGCAAATTGGCATGAAAGGTTGTTTTAAATGAATGTGTGAAGATCGGTATACTGATTTGCACCTTACTCTTTGAGGGATTTCATAGATCTATTATCAGAACGGTTTCTTCTTCATTACAGTCAGGCGATCCTCTGATGGCATGCCAGCAGACTGCCCACAGTCTGTTCACTGATGCAGTTAGCACTCAGAATAAAAGCAAAAGCTAGTTTTGAAATCACTATTCCTGATCTCAGATGCATTTCTGTAAGGCATTGTTAACTAAACTATGGTGGCAAATACAGTTTAATAATTTCACAAACTTGTGTAATTACAACTGCAGCTTCAACAGTTTGAAGAATGATTAAATGGCACATAGACTATCTTCGTTTTTCTTTTTTCTTTTAATTATTTCAACGTCTACAGTGTAATCTTTCATTTTAAGCCTACTCAGTGTAATTGAGTACACTTAATTTTTTTAATAAATATTTGTATCTATTTCTCAGTGAATATGGGAAATGCATTTTGGTGGATTTAAACAAAACAGATTTATTAAACAGATTCAATTATTGAAATATTTGGTCCCACTTTGTATTAAGGGGCCTTAACTAATATGTACTTACATAGGAGTTTGTTACAATGTACTTATTGTGTAAATACATGTTTTTACTATGTACGTATGCTTGATTAAATACATGTATGTAATTACATCTGTAACTAACTTTTGTAATTACATTTGTAAATACACTGTTGACCATCCCTTACACCTTAACCTACCCTTAAACTTACCCAGGCCACCAAACCTGTCCATAACCCAACCTCTATTCCAACTCAAAAGCACCACAAGTGTTCTCAAATACATTATAAACAAAGTAAGTACATTGCATTTATTATTTTGATGTAAGTTAACTTAATTAGAGATTAAACATTAAACAATTAAGTTTCCCCCAACAAAACCTTGAGATTTATGTTGTTTCAATTTAAAAGTAAAAAAAAAGAAAACTAATTATTTTTAAAAGCAAAAGTAATTTTTCGGAAAACACACCCCTGATTGGTTTGTGTTATGCAATGCCTGAAACTAAATTGAACAAAAAAAAATTATAATAATTTGAATTACCAGTCTATTATTATAAATAAGGAATATTCAGTGATTTTTCACTAAACCTAAAGTGCAAAACTGTATTATTTTAACACTTTCTCACAGAAAGAAACAAATAAACAAATAAAAATCAATCCATTTTTTTGTTTTTTTGCTTTCTTACTTTCATTCATTCATTTACTTACCTTTTTAAACATATTTTATTTGATTTACAGCACTGTAAAAAATGCAGTGTTCCAAACAGTTCATTCATGTTATCTCAACACAAATTGATTAAGTTAACACTTTTAACAAATTTATGTGGATTGAACATAAAAAATAAGTTTTCCCAATGAAATTTCAAGAATTGTGTTGTTTCAGCTTATTTTAAATAACAAGCAAATAATAATAATAATAATAATAATAATAATAATAATAATAATAATAATCATTTGCGTGAGGGAATAGTTCGCCCCAAAATTAATTCTGTCAACATTTACTCACCCTTGATTTTCTCTAAACCAGTTTAAATTTTTTTTTCTTTTGTTGACCACAAAAAATATATATATATTTTGGAAAGATTGGTGGAAACCTGTAACTATTGACTTCCATAGTATTTGTTTATTCTTCTTTTGAAGTAAATGGTTACAAATTTTTCTGAAAAATTTTTGACATTTTTAAAAAAAAAAAAAGAAAAACTCTAATTGAATAAATGATTCAATTTGAATTTCCTGGGTAAATAAAGGGTGAGTAAAGGATGACAGAATTTTCATTTTTGGGTGAAACTAAGTCTTTAATGCCACTGTAATAATACATAAAGTATTATAAATGTGCATTACATTTTTTATATTCTTCATGCACATAAATATGTGGACCCACTTTATATTAAAACAGCCACAGTCTGAAGACATGTGGTATACTGTAGATGAATTGATTAAGCTAAATTGGCCGTGGTGTATGTGTGTGAATGCAAGAGTGTATGTGAGTTTTTCAGTGTTGGGTTGTGGCAGTGTTGGGTTGTGGGCCATCAGCTGCTTAAAATAT